TGATGAGGCCTTGGACTAGTTAATAAAGGCATGATTTGAATGCACTTAATATAGATTAGCATGTGTGTTCTTCAGCTAATGAGACTATGATCCGGAAGCCTTTGGAGTATCTTTTTAATAGGTGCTTCTATCTGTATGGAAAATTTTCTACTGAAAGTCCCGCAAAGTGTCCCCTTCCTCCACTCTGGAAAGATAAGATAGAGTTGGATGTGGAGCATGGTTGTACCAAAAAATTTGCACATATATAAGAAAGCGGGATCTAAATTTGGTGTGTGGTAGAGTTTTTCTTTCATCAACCAACCATACCCTAGTTGGCGAGCCAGCATGAGAAGCGATAGCAGTCATGGAAGGGAGGCCGTACGAGCATCGGCTAGCCATGGTGATGAATAACACCAGTTTCTACTACCATCAAAGACCCGAAGTTTCACATCAGAACATGGTTTGCAACAGGTGAGATCAGCCACTACAGGACAAAGACGAAGATGGCCACATGTTCTCTTGCCCAGTTGGTGATTCAGGGTAGTCTAAATAACTATGTGGACTAGGAGTAGTATGATGTTCCAGCGATCATCGTTGGAGCTGTAATTGGCGACTTAATTAGCCCAGACTTTTCATACCAATGCAAACATACCCAAGCCCAGAGATGCTCTTCACGTCGTCTCGCGAACCGACAGCTTTGTGATCCCTGGATGTGACCTCACAGACCATCCCCTCTGTTTTTCCCCTCCTCCGGCTACTGCTCGTGGAAGTGCCGTCGTACTCTTATAAGAAGGCCATGCTGAAATTTCAGACCGAAACAACATGTTTAATATGCCCAAATATGGTGATTGGCTACACTCTGGGTACAACAACTAACAACAAGACTTGCTTATAGAGAAAAACAAACAGAAGAAACAGCAAAACAAAGTCACTAGAGGACCAACCAACCAAGTATAGGTTTCATAAACAGCCCGTAGGCGGGGGCCAACACATCCACGACACTCTAGAATATGGACTTCACACTGACATCAACACACGACAACAGTTTTCTTTCACAGGGTTACGAGCCCAAAGTTCCGACGCGAGAATATTCATCTAAGTTTTACGCGCACCCTATAGTGCTAGACACCCTTTGAAAACGGCTACATCTTCCGAGACACATGGACCGCATAATGCAAGGGATTGCATGGGGCCAGGCTCTTCCCCCTTCACTTGCCGCTACTTAGGAGTCAGGACCACATGCCGCGATCTGCTCTTCGAGCTGCAACAAAATATGAATAATAGGTCAATGATTAAGAGAAGTACCTTCCGAAAAATGATTAAGATAAGTCTATGGCACATAATGGTGCTCAAGTCACATGGTTTCACTAATCACCATGTTACAAGTTAGCTAGTTTCTTATTTGGGTATTTGGTGAAGCTTAATTTAAGCTGGGAAACAGAGAATTTCTCCCACTTTTTTTAGCTACCCTATGCATCTACCGAACATGATGACAAAATTACCACATAATCATTTAACGGCTAAAGGAGACTTTTCGGTACCTCAAACTAAGTGCTCCAAATCTAAATGTCAAAAGAATTAGATTAAGGATTAAAGATTGTTCCCATTTCTCTATCTTAATATGACCAATCTATGGGTTATGAAACTAGTGGAAAGTTGGTATCAACATCCAACATTATGCACATACGGTGCTACCTGCATCACGATCTCCAACTCATGTCGCACAATATAGAACTCATTCCTAACAAGAGCCAATGACACGAGACACCTGAAATAATGCAAAATTACCACATTGTCAAATTCTGAAGAGGTTAACAGAACTGAGATGAAATGGTTCAAAAATTGTAACCCTATATTTGAAAAAAGAAAAATCTCTAGCCATATAGGAATTTAGTTGTGCTATAAACAAAAGTCTAGAGCCAATAAATTACAAGAGAACCATCAAAGAGTAGCATATTCAGATAGTGAACCGAGTAATATCAATAACGTGATTGCAGATGAAGTGAAAAAGCAAATCAGGATACTTCTTAACAATGTTAGATTGGTATATGAGCTGAAAATAACGACAGAAAAGACAACATGAGCTGTCAGGTTTACATAGAGTCATTGAAAAACAATGTTGGGAATAATTATTGTGTAGCAGTATTAAATAAGCTACTAAGTTCTGACCCTTGTTTGTATTGTATGGCATAGAAATTGCCGAAGTGCATGCAGGCGAGGTTCACTTGCTGTGCACCAACACTGAAACATGCAAAAAAAATGCAGATCAGGAAATTAGGAACTTATCAAACTTATTATAAACTGAGACGTCAACTCAATAATATTCTCAAGGAGCCATTTCCTATCATGATTGTCAACTCCATAAATTGTTTGATGAAGCAGAAAAAAAAACACCATTGCCGCTATGTGCAATAGCAGATCAGTAGTACCAGAAATATTTAGAAAACGACAAAGTTTTTCTTGCCGGACCATGAAATTGTCATGAATACCGACAATTCCGCTACACGAGACACAACTACAATGAGGTCTTCTAATTTTGGATATACGACACCCAAATGACGTCCATGACGTACACACCCTGCGCCTGACAAATCTGAATAGAAACAACACCGTTCCAATGGTGAAACATGGCCATTGGCATTATGTAGAATTGCAAATCATTAATACCAGCCATGCTTATAAAACGACAATTTTTTTCATTCTCAACCTAGAATAATGGAATTGCCCGAAGAACAGACATGATAGTAGAACAAACGTTTGTAAAACTACAAAAATTCCCCTCGCCAAGCTATACGATTTGATTAACATTGGGAAGAATACCAACAATTTCGTTACACGATATATGACTAAACTCAGCTCTTCTACCTATGGCTATACGACGCCTGTAAAACGACACAAACCTCAATTGTGTGGCCGTGTCGTGAGGTACACACCCCGTGCCGACACATCAAAATAAAAAACAACATCAAAGCCGTGGACAAACTAGAAAAAACACCATTAGAGATACATAGAATAGCAGATCATTAATACCAGAAAAACCACCATTAGCAATACACAGAATAGCAGATCATTAATACCAAGACTATTCCAAAAATGCCAGCAATTTATCCTCATCATAACATTGATATTAATCGGGATACTGGTAACTCTGTTACACTAAACGCGACTAAACTTGATTCTTCTAATTACGCCTATGGGGTAGTGCAACCGACAAATAAGAATCCTTTGCCCAGTATAAACAGATCTGAATCGCACGACATTGACGCAGCGGGCAAACAAACATAGAGTTAAAAATAAGCAGGTGGAAGAGAGAGAAATGGTTTATGATAGTCATCACCTGGAGGTGCACCGCATGAGCTGCTGCGTCAGGGCTTCCACCTCGTCAAAGTCCACTTCAGGCTCCTCCCTGCGATTTCCAGAGCAGATAATTAAGATGAGTCAGTTCCCGAGACAGAGAGCAGAGGGAGAGATGACAGAGGGCGTGGGGGCGGACATCAGGAGGTCGATGTCGTCGATGATCTCGGAGGCGTCGTAGATGAAGAGGCGGGAGACCTCGGCGGCGGTGCCCTCGTCCCGCAGCTCCTCGAATGTATCCTCGTCCACCACACCCTGCATCGACATCGACCACGCCAAAGCAAAGGCAAAGGCCAAGTTAGTCGTCCAGCCAAGCCAAAATCCAATACCACACGACTAGAGGGGAGGGGAAGGGCCTCACATTGGTGTACATGCCGGCGATATGGGCGTTCAGCTGCGCCCTCAGTGCTGCGGCTGCCATGGCAAGGCGAGGAGAGGTCCGGCGGTCCGGGGGACTGAGCGGTGGAGACGGGGGAATTCGGCTGCGGATGCGGAGTGAACGAGGATGGATGGAGGAGCGGATGTTGTATAGCTGGGCTCACGAGGGTCTCTCACGTAGGCGTTTGGCAGCGAGTGCTCTACTAGCTGTACTGTGTTGTCGGCCGGGCGCCATTAGTTAGCTTGGCAACAGCCCGCTTGCGTACTGCGTGCGATGTATCATGCATGCATGCATGGAGCCACCGGTTGTGTGTCCACGTGTTCATGGAAGTGAGTGTCTGTTTCAACTTTTCCTTTCAAAAAAATTAATTTTAGTACCTCACAATCTTATCTTATATCTTATATCTTATCTTATATATATTTACTAATTGGAGGCACCAAACGAGGCATCACGTTAATCCTACAAAACTAACAAAAATAACCATCTGATCTCAGTATAAAATATCTACAGCCGTTGGATGAAATCACTAAGAGAGTCCTAGCAAATTATCCCACACGTACGTCTCCTTACAAGAAAAATAGTTCTTTGTATGGAACCCAAATAAAAAGGGTCACGTTAATCCTATAAAACTAATAAAATTAACCATCAGATATCAGTATGAAATATCTGCAGCCGTTAGATGAAATCCCTGAGAGTCCTAGCAAATTATCTCACAGGTACGTCTCCTTACAAGAAAAAAAAGAGGTCTTCGTATGGAAACCCAAAGAAAAAACAGGTTTCCCCGCATGGCCGCATCTCTTCTGCCAGCGCCGCTCCTCCTCCTCCGCCGCCTCTCCATGTTCTCCTATATACTGCAAGGTACGATCCCTAATGCAGTCCATCTAGAAGAAAATGAACCAATTCAATCTCTACTCATTGCCCTTCCACTCGAGTTTTGATATCTCTGAAAGATTTAGGAATTGTTGCCACACTTGGGCTTTTCCATTGCATGTCAATATATAGACAAATTTACAATCCTAACCATAAATGGGAGATCACAACAATGTCGATTCTCCTCGATTTAGGGGATAAGGAGATATGTCACGATACGTAACATATTAGTCTAACACTCCCCCACAGTCACAACAGGAGGAGAACGGACGTTGAGACTGGACCGAAAATCCAAAAACAACGGCGACGGAAGACCCTTCGTCAAGATGTCGGCGAACTGTCGTGACGAGGGAACATGAAGCACACGGACCTGACCCATGGCAACACGATCGCGAACGAAGTGGAGATCGATCTCGATGTGTTTGGTACGCTGATGTTGCACTGGGTTCGTGGACATGTAGACGGCGCTGACGTTGTCGCAGAAGACGATCGTCGCAGGAGGAGATGGTCGATGAAGTTCCTAGAGAAGTTGCCGAAGCCAACTCACCTCAGCCACGGCGTTTGCCACGGCACGGTACTCGGCTTCAGCACTCGAACGCGAGACTGTGTGTTGCCGCTTGGAGGACCAAGAGATGAGGTTATCTCCAAGGTAAACACAGAATCCTAACGTTGACCGCCGAGTGTCGGGGCAGCCGGCCCAGTCGGCGTCGGTGTAGGCGATCATGGAGCTTGGTGAAGTCGAGTAGAGCTGAAGGCCATGAGAGAGCGTGCCCTTGACATAGCGCAAGATGCGCTTGATGGCGGCGAGGTGTTGCTCACGCGGGTCGTGCATATGAAGGCAAACATGTTGAACGACATACGCGATGTCTGGGCGCATAAAAGTGAGGTATTGAAGAGCGCCGACAAGACTCTGGTACTCCGTGGGATCGGCCACTGAAGGACCGGCAGTAGCAGCGAGCTTCGGTGATGTATCAACAGGTGTCGTGGCCGACTTGCAAGCAGTCATGTCGGCCCTGTCCAGAATCTCCGTGGCGTACTTAGCTTGCAAAAGATGCATGCCGGAGGAGTCGCGGGTAACCGCGATGCCGAGGAAGTAGTGGAGGATGCCCATGTCCGTCATGGCGAACTCGGCGTGGAGAGAGGACGTGATCATGTCGAACAAGCGAGTCGACGAGGCGGTGAGGACGATGTCGTCCACATAGAGTAGGAGGAAGGCCGTGCCTTCCGCACACCGGAGGACGAAGAACAAAGTGTCTGAGCGTGAGCATATGAAGCCGGTTGAAGTGGTGAAAGCAGTGAAGCGTTGGTACCACGCACGAGGAGCCTGCTTGAGACCGTAGAGTGAACGGTTCAGCCGACAGACGTGGTCGGGGCAACTGGAGTCGATGAAGCCAGTGGGTTGACGACAGTAGACAACCTCAGCAAGAGTGCCATGCAGAAAGGCGTTCTTGATGTCGAGCTGATGAGTCTCCCAATTAAGAGAGAGCGCGATGGAGAAGATGACACGCACGGTGGCTGGTTTGACAAACGGGTTGAGTGTCTCGTCGAAGTCGACACCTGGCTCCTGAGAGAAACCTCGAAGCACCCAACGAGCTTTATAGCGATCGAGGGAGCCATTGGGCTTGAGCTTGTGGCAAAAAACCCACTTGCCGGAGACGTTGTTAGCATCCCGAGGAGGAGGCACAAGATCCCAAGTGTTGTTGCTGAGGAGAGCGCGGTACTCCGCAGTCATAGCATCGAGCCAATTGGGATCCTTGAGAGCTGGACAGGCGGAGGTGGGAACCGGTGAGTACCTGCTGACAGACGAAACATGCAGGTTAAGCCGCTTGCGAGGCCCCTTGTGGATGCCGGAGGTGTTGCGCGTGCGATGAGTGTGTGCAGGAGGGGCGCCCAGTGAGGGAGGTCCAGGTGGTGAGGGTGGTGCAGGTGGTGAGGGAGGGGCGGGAGGAGGGAGGGTGGTGGGGTGGGTGGAGGGGTAGTAATCGGAAGGGGTGGGACAACTATGGGTAGGTTGTCGTCGGCGGCAAGAAAGTCGTACGTGGCGGCGTTGGTAGGCTGTGGGGAGGCAAAGGGAAAGGTCATCTTATCGAATGCGACGTGACGAGAGATGATGATGTGGTGGGTAGTGAGGTCCATGCACCTATATCCCTTATGATGAGAGGAATAGCCAAGAAAAACGCAAGCACTCGAACGCAGCGACAGTTTATGTGGCATAGTGTAGGCGGTGTTGGGATAGCATAGGCAGCCGAAGACGCGTAGTGACGAGTAATCGGGATGGGTGTTGTGAAGGGCAAAGTATGGAGAGGGGCCGCTAATTGTTTTTGTAGGAAGACGGTTAAGGACGTGAGTGGCGGTGTGAAGTGCTTCGGCCCAATAACGAGGTGGTAGGCTAGCCTGAAATAAGAGAGAATGCACAATGTCATTGACAGTGCGAATAATGCATTCAGCTTTACCATTTTGTTGGGATGTGTATGGGCAAGACAAGCGAATGTGAATGTTGTGCGTGGCGGCGAGAGAGTGAAGTTTGTTATTGTCGAACTCACGACCGTTGTCACATTCTATGGACACGAGAGATAAGCCAAACTGAGTGTGAGCGAACGCGCGAAAAGCGGAGAGCGAGGCGTAAGCATCAGATTTTTGGTGAAGCGGAACAGTCCATAGAAAATGAGTGAAATCATCAAGAATGACTAAAAAATATTTATCGCCAGAAACACTCAAGATCGGTGAAGTCCAAAGATCATAATGGACTAACTCGAATGGACGAGTTGTACGAGTAGTGGAAGAGGAAAAAGGTAAACGTACATGACATCCTAGTTGACAAGCATGACATAAAGTGGTTTGATTTATTTGTCTAATACAAGGAAGAGAAATATGTTGCGAGAGGCGACTATAGGCATCATGGCCGGGGTGACCGAGGCGACGGTGCCACACGTCATGAGGGGCGGTGAGCGTGGCGAGGGTGCGAGGAGGCGGAGGACATGTGAACGTGTAGAGCTCCCATATACTATTGCACCGAAGGATCTCGCGCCGGGAATGAAGGTCCTTCACAGAGAAACCAAAAGGGTCAAAAGCGACGATGCAATGATTATCAGTAGTGAATTGACGAACGGAAATAAGGTTTTTGATAATGTTAGGTGTGACTAAGACATGACGTAAATGAAGAGGTCTATTGGGAAAGAGGGAGGGAAGGGAGGAATGACCGGATGTGGTGACGGGAACGGTGGAACCGTCGCCGACCACCACGTGACGATATATAGGATGGGGAGAAAGAGATGATAAGATACCGGCATCGGAGGAGAGGTGGGCGGTCGCGCCGCTATCCATGACCCACTCAGGATAGGGTTGATGCAACGTCATGTTGGTGAACTGTTGAGCGAGAGCGGCGGTGTCCCATGATGGTGTCGGCGTCGGTGTTGTGGCGTAGGGCAGCACGGCACCGAACAGAGCTGCGCTATGGCCACCGTAGGGCGCGCCGAGAGAAGCCGGGGGAGCGGCCATGTAGGCGTGGGCGCGTGATCCCAGACCCCGTCCAAGGATGTCGCCGGTGCTGTTGGGGTGCGACTGCATGGGCCACATCTGGATGGCTCCTGTCCAAGGGTTGAATGGAGTGGGCATTGGAGGAGCACCGCCGCCGGAGGACGACCCGCCGCCGCTGGGAGGAGCAGGGACTGGTCCTTTGGCGGTGTAGAAGGCGGAGGCTAAGGTGTTGGTGGAGCGCCGGGAAGTCTTCATCTCGTGGAGCAGCAGCATGTTGCGGAAGTTGAGGAAGGTAGGGAACGGCGTGAGGAGGGGGCGATGTCGGCAACGCTGTCGAAGCGCTCGTGAAGGCCCTTGATGACGTTGGTGATGAGCTCGGGGTCGGATACGGGGGCACCGACCTCGGCAAGAGCGTCAGCCACCGTCTTTTGCAGGTGAAGATACTCGGTGATGGACCGATCCTCCTGCTTGATGTTGTGGAACTCCTCGGCGAGATAAATCTCGCGGCTCTTTTGGTTGTCGTTGAAGAGAGCGAGGACGGAGGTCCAGACCTTGTAGGCCGTGGTGGTGGCAGGGTCGGTGGGCATGACGACGTCGACGATGTCCATGGCCATGGAGCCGTAGAGCCAGCGGAGCACCAAGACGTCGAGGCGGCGCCATGTTGGATCGGTGGAGGGCGTCTCGGCGGTGAGGTG